GATCAAGCAATATTATTATTTCATTACATCATAATATGTTTGTATTTATTTCAATTGAACTCCTTCAAATGAATTAATTTCATGTTCAAATAATAAACATTATTACTTACTTATGATTTAAAATATTAATCTTTTGGTTATTAAAGGAAGTTGAACTAATCATTTGTAAAATGAAAGTATTTTTTCAGGTTAATTAATATCACGTAATTATCAATATTGCTGGGAAATGGTGGACCTAGGGTTTGTTTTAATCGACACTTGTCGTCAAGAGGTATCTACAAATTTCCTGAAACTTAACTTCACATGTCTGGGTTCGAATCCTAAGAAAAAAAATACTGGTTTCATCAAGATTGTGCATACACCCCATTGATGAAAACCAACTAACTTATATATATAGCTTATATCTACCATCTTGATTATCTTTTAGAGCCTAGTGCAGAGCGATCTTAAGTCATTTAAATTAGTAGCCCTACTGCAACCTGGTCGATAATATTTGATTATCTGTAGAAAACTATCATCCGATGTGGAGTTATGTTGCACTACATAAATCATATTTTTATTACTATGTCCATATTTTCATTTTTTGAACTCTGTATCAACAAAAAAGGAGTGGATATGGCTACTACTACGTACTACATTCACTAGTACGAAATTTATTTATGCACGCTTTGGAAACAAGTGCAATCGTGAAATATGCTTCTACACGAGATCTGGTTACGATATGTTGATATTTTTGTTATCAGTTGAGATTAATCTCAAAAAATCGACAAGTTAATACTATTTCGGGTAGCATAAGACTGCCTAAATAACCCGGATTTGTGAACTGTAAACTAAATTTCCCCGATTGGAGAGAAAAAACAACAATGCAAGCGTTAGCAATATTACTAGTCATCACACCCTCTTTCATGGTTGCTACAAATTTAGTAAACGGTGATATTAAGCTTGGTAATGAGATAGAAGATATACAAACTGGATTACATTTGATCCTATTTACACTTGTGAAAAATAATTATCCTAAGAAATTCCATAAACATTTTAAAAAATGAAAGATAACTAAGTCAGAGCGTTTACTAAAAGGACGAAAAAAACACTGATCATCCCATATTGTGAATAAAGTTTGAAATAAATATGATATAAAAGTTTATTTTTGAGCTGGTGATGACATCAAATCAGCACTAGTGAAGTGAAGCATAAGATACCAAAAGAAGAACAATAAAATTGTCTATCAAGTTAGGTGTTATGAGTGTAATTCAGTATATGTAAGAGAAACATCTAGGAATCGAGATGAAGATTTGTAGCTCAGGTGGATGATTTTGACCTGTCAACAAGAACCAATCAACATTAAGGTCTACAGGACAAGCTGCGAACCACATGTTGAAAAATTCGAACACTTCACTTCTACCTGACGTTTGTGCTGATGATGTCGTTCAGAAGAACGACGGAAGCTCCACGACCAAACCGTCCAGCTAAGAGAACAAAACTCCATCAAAATCTAGATAGTTCAATGTCAGGGTGGGAGAACACAAATAATGTTTGAAACATTTTCCTACATCCCCAGAACTCAAGAAGCCTGATAAAAGTTTAGAAATAGTACTACACTCAGAAGCGAAATCAAATTTGAAGGAACAAAAATTCTTTACGACGTTTATATGGTGGTTGGAGGTAGTCGACAGTAAACACTGGACCCGGGTTTCGTGCTACTTGGCCGTAGTGTCAAGTCACCTAGACTGGTGGTCACATTGCAACATGCACTAATAAGGACTAGACACGCATGACATTGATCACCACCCAGTGATCAATCAATTGTGATTCGTTACGACGGTTTAGGTGCTGAATCAGAATAATTGTCTACTCCACGGTAAATGTTGACCAACAAATAAATACACTGAGCTTAGTATCCGCCTCGCCTATACTAATTGAAGCATGATCCCGATAAAAACAGACGCTCATTCAGTTATTTTTGAATTTATCTACGATAAACTTTAATTTAACAACACGGTTATATATATACAGATACTTCGATAAGATTATTTTACTCATACTTACTATTAATTTTACAAAAAACAAAAACGATTAAAATGTCCTTAGTCATATTTTCTAATATCAACAGAATACAGCACACATACACTCAAGCGTTTTTCACATCGAATGTTTTTTTTTTAAGTCACTACGCAAAATCAACATGTGGAATTGATCGGATAAACTGTTGACTTTTTTTAAAACTATATATATCCTTTGATGTTGATTTCGATTATTTTCTTGTAGAAGTTTGAAATTGTTTGCCAAGTGGAAGGTTGGGACCATTTAATTTTCAATCATTTATGTTACTTCACATATGTCTACTATGTCCATGATTTACAAAATTGTATCTGATTGTTATTATTTTAATAAAATCTCAAAAATGAAGTGTTTTATAAGGCATGAGCATTATCTGAGAAATATTTTAGCGACTATACATTATAGTCAATCAAATTGTTTAAAATTGATAAAAATCAACCTTCGTGTTGAATTCCATAAGCCACATTTCAAGATAAGATTATTTGTTCTTACATCAAACTAATCATGTAGATTTTAAACTTAATGTACAAACAAGTGCTACACAGCTTTCATATGAAGACGTTGAACGGTTATTTTTGAGTTATTGTATTTAGTTCAGTCCTTTTACATATGAAGGCAATCATAGTTCTATGATATTGTTAAGTTCCTAGACTAGATAATGACTATATTCAATAAAATTTATATCAGATTCGGAAGGATTGTTGTTCAAGTGTAATTGTTTTATTTAGAATCAAGTTTTGTGGTAAAATAAAATTCATTAAATAACATTTGTTAATTGTTTATTATAAAACCGTGTCTCCTTTAGCAAAGATTTTTACAAATTCTTTTTAAACTGTATGATGAGTACATAGAACTCACTTTTGTTAATATTTAAATTACAGATAATTATTGTTCAAGTAAAATTACACACATACACATAAATAAATATGAACGTGTTTCATGACCGGAACGGATTAAATCTGGTCAGATTAAATCCTTATATATGTGTATATAAGTTTATGTTAATCTTCGTACTTCTTCATATTCACAAACAAAAAATGCACCAACATATCAAACTAACTATCCTTTAGGGAATAATGAATTAACAAAAATGAGATTAATTATTTCCCTTTCTGTCGTAAATCATTCATAAATATGATAAATTATAGTGTATTGTAATTTTACTGTAATAATTCAGTTATCATTTACCAAATTTTTTGAGTTAAATATTTAAAAGAAAAAAAAAACAGAAATATTCTTCGTAGCAAGTAGATTATATTGAAGCAAAAAACAAAACAAAAAACAAACTATAAATCAAGGAATGTTTATTTGACTAAACCTAGAGTTTAAAGTATTAAATTGTACAAATGGTAAATAATAAAATTGTATTAAAAGATTTCCATTTGATTAGTTGACAGATTTTAGTGTCTATTTTAAATAAGCTGGATTTTGGGTAATAAAAAAATATATGACTGAACAATGTTACGTAAACTGTAAATGCGGTTTAGTGAATCAATAACAAGTATAATATTATATCAGAAGGGGTTTTGTGGATATTATAGCAATTTCAATGGTTGAGATCATGAGTCAATTGAAGCTAGACCACCGTGGAAAACCTGGAAGGCCGTTTCGTTCTATTATGAGACTCCTGGATTCGAATCTTGAGAAGGGGGATCGTGGATGCGCACTGCTGAGGAGTTCCACAATAGGACGAGATGGTCGTCCAGTGCTCCTAGGTTTTCACGGTGGTCTAGCTTCAATTGACTCATGATCTCAACCATTATAATATTATACTTTAAATAAATTATATTTACAATGATTTGTAGAAATAATAGAGACTGTGATGAATTATTGATATTGATCAAAGAACATTGTTGCGAATCTCTGGATCTAGCTTTATTGTTGAATAACACTCATTAACAAACCGTGTTGGAAACCTTGAGGAAATTGACTTATCTACTCAAGATCCAGTCTGAACCACAGTTAGGTGTTGCCTTCAAAACATCGAGCGGATCAATAATCTGTATTTTCAAATTCACTAACTTTAAACCATACAAGTCAATAAACAACTATCCTTTTTATACGAATATTCGTCAAGATTAGAACGAATAGTGAATGTGAAAATTATATTTGAATAATCTCAGCGATTGACATGTGAAATAAAACAAAAGGAATTATTGGGAATAAAATCATTTTATTACCATAATTGTTCAATGTACTCATAAATTTCAATCGCTGAGATAATTCAAATATGATTTTCACATATAATAACTATCCTTTTTATCAAGTATTACGCTGTCATTTACACTTTGAGGTGTGCTTGCTACACAAATGTAGCGATAAGAACTATCTACCTATTTTCATCCACATTTATATGGGAGAAGGGGTTTAAATCATTTATCTTAATAATTATTCAATTTGTATTTCTTTCTCATTACAGTAATCATATCTATAGATTGTTTCTACTGCTTTTAACAACGAGCATTACATGATATTTTCTTGTTAGCTTTAATTATAGTAATTTACACTGCCAGTTAGATCTCAAATCTGCGATCTGCTAATCGCTATTTTCGGGGCTGTTCAACGATATTGTATTACATAACTACAGATCGAAATACAGCTGCATTTTTCATTTATTGAATTGTAGTAGTTAACACTTGTGTAATTGTTATGAGTTTCTAAACAGTCAGTCATAGTAGGCAGGTATGTATAAACATTGATCCGATTTACCACGACACAGCACCACAGCGACATAAAATCGACAAAAGGGATTTGGAATATTAGTAGTATCGATGATAGCACATTTAGACACAGAAAATACGGCTGAAAAGGAGGGATGAAATAAGTCGATAGAATTCAAGGAAGTATGCTAAAACTCAATATTTAAGAGAACATTTGAGCCAGTTTGAATGATTTGGATCAATTATTATATAAAGTTCCAAATTATTGATCACAATCATCATGCAGATCCAAAACGTTTTTAAAACAGTTGACTTATTAAAAATCAGAAACGGACAATTGCTGCTACCTCAATGTTTTCTATAGACCTCTCAATACTGAAGATATGAGATTAGTATGTGTAGAAATAAAAGGATTGTTTTAAGAATAAAACAGCAGGAATTATTGGGAATTAAATCGTTTTATTACCATAATCGTTCAATGTACTCATAAACTTATTCACGGCTAAATGCATTTGGAACTGCATGCTTACACAGTTTTCTTTTCTACATTTTATTCCGGGAAACTTCATCCTCTAACTGGTCAATTTACTCAAATCAGTTAAATTCTAAGTTTTGTATATGTACAGCTGAGTAACAAATTAAAAAAGGGAAACCAAAAAGTTACAAAAGTTTATATACAATTGAACACTATATACATGATGATAAAAGAAAATAATGGACTGAAAAATTCATCACTGAAATGGTATTAAGGATCCTAATTTAGAGTTCATAGCCAAAAAAGTCATGGAAGTTTATCATCAGTAACTGCCAAAATGAATTATGATGTGTCCATGTAACGTCGATTCAAAGACATAACTGTAAAAAAAAGATCAAGAAACCAGAAAAAATTAAACTTTTAATAAAAAGCATGGTGTTTCGAGTTACAGTAATGCAAAAAATAAGTAGTGAGACAGCCCTACTTACACTATATAGCTCATTTAACGCTCAGCAATTCTAAAGACAATTTCCCATCAGAACTAACTTCAATTTTCAACCCAGCTGCTTGGGGATAAATATAAAACTAGTTCGATACTAGTTGATAGATGTTAATTTTTAAATCGCGGTCCGCACGATTATCGTAATCGATGGTCCGAAATTATTTGAAATGGCGTAGGTGCATCTATTTTTTGTCTTTCGCCAAATTCTGGGCTTCTGAATTCCTCACAACATTTTATATGCTTTTATTTCACTAATTTATACTTTCTTGGGTCGTATCTTCAATCTCCAGTATTTTCAATTACCACTTGTACTGTTACTAACTCTACTATTCCGGGATATGGCCTGAAAGTTTTATGTTTGTGCTGATGGGATACGGCAACTTGAACTGATGTACCTATATACCAGGTCCTACGTGTCATAATAACTGAATAAAACAATAACTGACCATTAAAATTAGTATGTCAACGCGTAGCTGCGATTAGTATAAGTCATAACCAAATGATTATGTGTACACAGCTAAGATGTTTATTATTCCTGGTTCGGTAAATGATTGCTGTATACAGAATTTCAGAGCACTTACTATGAAAGCACAATCTCCCTCTTTTGTTTGCTGAAGTAGGAACTTTACACGTTCACGGGACGACGTAATAAAATATCTGAATTCATCTTTGAATTTGTCGCAAGCGCAACACTTGTATGATCAAAAAACAGCCATTGAGAAATTAGTGTAAACAACTCACTAGAATAAGTGAGGTCAAGATCATTAAAGTATGGAACAATGAGGTGTATAGAGCTAACTGACGATAAGTTACCAAAGAACCAATGTTACCATAAATGTTTTTCTCATGCATTGACTGGGAATTATTTCCTTCCTAAAAAAGTGTTATAAGAGCTAATATTGTTTATAGTGCAGATTTCAGGCCATCGAAAGCATGACGCTATAAAATGACCAACTCTTAAAATACTTGTATTACTACATTCATATCCTAAGCCACAAATACTGTGCATAAAGTATTGTTGATTAAAAATAACTAGTGTATTTTAAGGGAAAAAACTAAATAATACTGGTTTAGAAAGATCTATCTATAGAAAGCATGTTGTTTAATAACAATTTACTGAAATTCTTCAACTAAACTCCCAAAATGTAGATTTTCACCACACTATTGTAAAAACTTATGATATTATACCAGGTATGAATCAATTAAAGAAGGTCATTAGATAACTTAGAACCTTGCACAAACGCATAATACCAGGTACGGTGTTTAAAGCGAACGACAAACGTTGCACAGATGATTCAATTTAATATTTGATTAAACTAAGAAGTAAAAAGATTCGTTAGAAAACTTACCACTGGATACTGTAGGGCCGACGGGAAGTGTTCGTAAGCCAGTGCTGGTATCTACACTGGACAATTGAGCAACATTTTGGACAGTTTGAACACGAATCATAGAAGGTCCCATTCCAGGAGCGGCAATAACATGAACAGATGGTCCCATAGGATTACCAACAGTAATTGGTCTGGTTGAAGGATTAATAGCTCTAAATATATTTTTGGTAGGATTAACCGGGTTGGATATGTGAAGTGTCATCGAAGAATCCCCAGCGAGTTCAGATGAAGGATTCTATCGAATCAGAAATGAAAAATAGATGAAACAGGAACGCTTACTAATATATTTTCTTTATTTCAAACACAGCTTCAATGAATGGGTAAATATTTCACCATACCTAAGAATAAAATGGACCATTCACACGGTCAGGAAGTCACAAAAAAGAATAAATTACAATGTACTGAGTGATTTTTCTACTTATTTAAAAATAAATCAAGTTTAATTCTGGTACTGTTTTAAGGTCTCCCTAAAATTTAAGTTAAATTTACAGATGATAGTAATAGTACTTCACCGAAACCTAAGTGGTAAAACCAATACATTGAGATCACTTATAGAAAAGAGCTTTTCGATCTTCATGACTTTAATGTCCAAGTAGCATAACTATACAGCCTGATAGTATATCTACACATAGCACAAGCAAGTGAATTGTATGCACACCATTGGTGACATGTAATCTTTAATGGAGTTATAAAAACATTCGAAACACTAAAATTTGAAACAAAAGGATTTAGTGGACCATATTTGAATCATATTATCACTTAGCACCATGTCATCAGTCAAATAATAGTCACAAAGAAAATCGTTATTTTCCACAGGCCCCTGGAAGGAACGTCCGCGATATTGCAAACACACCATCTCCGTTACTCATAGCTGCGTAAGCAATTATCACATCCAATAAAGGTGTTACACAGTAAGGGGAGTCAAGAGTTTACAATGTTGATTGAGTTACTAAGCATTTAAGTTTTGGGGAGTAGCAAACGAAATTCTATTTCACAACACATTCTATGAGCTCATACATAATCATTTATCGACGATCTTGAAAAACATTAAAATATACGTTTATAGTATTTATAATACTTTAGTTGTTCAAGCTTATTACGATTGGTGTAAATAATAATATAAGGAGTAAATGACTAGGACTACAACTCCCATATTCAGACCTAGCGATACTTGTCTGCTTCTAACAATAAATAGAAAAAGTTTCGATCCCGTGATCCACTTGGTTGCTAATCAAACGAAGTGAAGAAACCTTTCTTTGTAGCAAGCTATATGAACAACGATGAATACAAAAGCCTAAATATCTTATATATATATATATATATATATATATATATATATATATATATATATATATATATATATATATATATATATATAATACATTGGATCTTACTGTTTTTGCGTTCTCTGCACATGGTAAAAGTGAATAATTTGGAGCTGTGAGTGTGAAGCGTTCAGCGGGTAAACGAATGCCACAATGAGGACGAACAGCTGGTAGTGGCTGTTCATTTTTCTCAGCATAAGCTAGTAACTGATCTCTATATGGTGGTGCGAACATAAGTCCATCTGTGACTGAATTGATGGCTAGTTGTACGTCATCTTCCTCAATTTTCGGTCGACCGGCATGATGAGAAACAGCCTTTGCCTCTTCGATGACATCACATGTGTGTCCTACCGTATAAAGGCAAACTTTAAAACGAAACATACTATACAAAACGTCCAAAACCCGTGTACATATTTCATCGGAAACTTCCGAGACGTTAAACTCCGAAAATATCTCTCTAACAGCAGCTAAAGACGGAGGTAATACTTCATTGATATCTGTAGGATTTTTGTGTTCTGTCATTGATTTATGTACTCTACACTACACCACGTAAAAATATCTGAAAAAAAGAGTTACTAAGATTACTCTATCGTTTGCATCAATTTGATGGGATTTGTTTAAATAAGATAACCACAAAAATACTTATTTCGGGGAAATCATGGGACCAGATATGGAGCAATTTACAGGAGTTCAAACCTACCTTTATTCCTTACTGAGTAAAACTGTGAAAGAGCTATATTTTAATCTCATTTCTTGAACAAATATTACGTACCAGTCAATATTGTACGTCGGAATTGCATAACGGTAACATTCAGAGTACTAGTTCGATTGATATTTTTAATTTATAAGGACTGTATTTAATATCAGGTAGCTATTTTATAAGAAATGAAACCTGTGAAAAAACTAGTTTGCTATACCTAACATCCGATGGGAAGTAATATCATCTCAGTATATTTTAAATAAACCATATTGGCATAAAATGCTATAATCAATATCGTAAAAATAAACAATATATTTGTAATATTACAATGAGTAGAAAAATTAGATTTTCTGACGTTTCGTGACTTAGTTTAGGTCGCTTCTTCGAAAAATATATTATTTACTTACAACAATCTGCCCAATGCTCAATTTATTCGAAATTATCAAATATCGTAAAAAGTTTGTAACTCATTCGAACACATAAATGCTGGTACAAGGAAGCACCAAAATATATATGCGCAACAGGATGAAAATGAAGTTGTGAAGTAGATAAAGGAAGGCGTGCATAATAAAAAAGAATAAAAACGGATATAAATTAGTGAGTGTGAGTGAAATAATAATAATAAATGAGAGAAACAGTTCAGTTACGAAAAATACAACCAGAAAGAATTCTTTCGGTTAAAGGAGTTACTCTCACTTTTAAGGAAAAAAGTTACATCACGATCACTACTGGCTTCTATTCTGAAACATTTCTGATAACATGTCAAGCCACTTTGTTACACCATCTCTAGGACTCCAACCAGGAAGTCGTGAATGACTAACAGAAGTCAGTTCTGTACAGCTTTCTTTCACATTACAACACCACATCATAAACTGACCACATCTCTGCTTTTTCCAACCAGCCCCAGCGTCGGAAAATAATGCACGACGAGGGATTCTCTGAGACCATAATCGTAGGACATGTCCAAACCATCGAAGTCGACGTTCCAAGATCGTGATACCAATTGTATTATCGTCGCTGTGCCCAAACACATGATGACAAACCTCTACATTACAAACATGGTGTTGCCACTGAATGTCAGCAATCCTTCAGAGACAACAACGATCAAATACAGAGAGTCATTTAACATCTTCAACTCAGAGAGGCCAGGTTTCACAAGCTTAGGGCGAAACTAATCTCACCGACGCACTGTAGATCCGACGTCACAGCATAACTAGCATCACGGAAGCGCTAAAAATGGCCCAGATTAGCATAAGCCGCCCTGGCTTTCACTATACGTGGATTGATCTCTACACTCACGCCACAACCAGGACTTATGCAGCTACTCAGATACACGAACTTCCAGTGAATCGCAGGCGGCCCTGATGTCAAGAAACACCACGATTGTTGGCCTGTAATAAGTATGACGGTGTTCTAACATTTGGTGGATGATGAAGATATGATTAATACATCCTCGACCAGAAAGAAAACCAGCCTAATCCCAGAGTCAATCTCGGGTTTTGGACAATCTGCGAAGTATGGGGGAAGGCGACAATTTTTTCACAATCGGAAGTCTACTTAGGTGACGTAAACTATTTTAAAACTAGAGATAACTATCGACTCACTTAACGATCTTGAAACACTCTCTAATCGCCAGACTCTCGTAAACAACTTAACCAGAAAGTCTCTAACATATTTAAGAAGTAACAAAGGCAAGTCATGCAGGCCTGTTGATTTGTAGCATTTCAAGAGTCAGAGTTCCTTTAGAACCTTCCCCTCATTATGTGGTTCAGTCGTAACTGGCCATGGAGAACAAAAAAGCCTGATCGATGATGCCGGAGCGGAAGACCAGTTGAACAGCCCCTCGAAAATCTCTGCCAATTGTCCAAGACGTCGACAGATGTTAGTGGCCGGCATCCTGTCATCTTCACAGATTGTTTTACTCACACCAGACTTATTACTGCCAGTGACTCGGATGAGTTGAAAGAGCCTTCGGCAGTTACCAGAGGCAGCTGCCACTTTCAACTCATTGGCACGCTCCGACCACTAGGCTTCTCGGTTCTTACGCAAGGTTTGTTCAATTTCATTACGTAACGGTCATCGATTGTGGTCAAACTCACGGTCACCCAGAGTAGACCGACGGGCTTCAACGAATTGTAAGGAATCTGAAAAAACGCAGTTCTTATAAGCGGGACGTTTCGTAAAGTTGCAAGCAACTACTCGCCATTTTCATAGTGCCATACAACTGCAACCAATACACAACTATACACTTCGGTGAGGTGGTAGCTAGCCTTGAACCTAGCTCGGTTTGATATCTAATTTTAATAGAAGGTACAACCAACCTACTGACATGGATTCGTTTAGGACGACAAATTTGTTGGGCACTGAAACGTAAGATGACATTAGCGCAAATGAGGCCATAATCAGAATCCAGATAAGTACTCAAAAACGAGCGGTAGTCTCATATACAACCACATCAGTGGTAGCTGATCACAATGTGATCAATCTGGGTCCAGTCTTGAGATGAAGAGGGAGGACGAAAGGTAGCACATCGGCGATGACTGTGCCGATAGTTAGTGCTAGCTAGAAACAGGTTGTGGTCTGCGCACACTTGCAGTAGACGGTCCCTGTTATCTGACCTACGACCAACGAGTTTCGACTAGCCATTTAAACAACTCTCCACTGTGCCCAAAACTCCAACCTAAGCGTTCAAGCCTCCGGCTAGTACTACCATATCTGTCTAAAGCACTTTCTGTAGAACACTTAACTGGTAATAGAAGTCATCCTTGGTCACATTCGGGCTGCAGTCTGTCGGAGCGTAGGCAAAGACAACGAAAAACATTGTTTCTCATGCCGATTTCTCACTTTGATCGAGCTTTTTAATCTGACAGCACATAATCGACTGTTTATGGGGATCCAATCGACTAATGCCACTTCAGCTCCAGCACATGGTGCCACACCAACACCAGCAAAACCAAACAATAAAACAGGGTTTCCAGATAAACGCATGTGAAACAGACTTTTCGAAGCGGCAGATGAAGAGCGAATATGTAACTGCTCGTTGTAGTCTTGAATACGGGTCTAGGATAGATAACAGATATCGATGTTAAGACATCCTAGAGACAGTCACACATGTGTTGTCCGATCTGCCTTAACGTGTGAACGTTGAACGAGGTTAGCTTAAATGGTATAGGTGGTTTTAGAAAAACTGGTTCGAAATTTGTATTCGGTGGTAGTTTTGAGCTTTCGACCAGCCAGTAACTTGATATATAAAATGGAGATAGAGGAACAGATAAGTGATGCATCAAAAGTAAAAACGTTTGTTAACAAATAGTTTTGAGTATGATTTGCGAGAGTGAGAATTAAACAGTGAGTTGTTTTTTTAGTTGCAGTCATCATTTAATTTGTGTATGTGCTGGGATACTGCCCAGGTGCCCAATTCAGTCAGTCAGAAACAAAGTAGAACTTTGTACGTACATACATCGAGTTGCCGTACCACATTAGCACAGAGATACAACTGTCGATTCAAATCCCATAGTGGTAAAAGTATAATCAGTAGTCGAAAAGATTAGATGCCCAAACCTAGGCAGATGCTTTCCTTAGGGGGCTACTCCCTGAGTTTAACCAGAACACAACCAAGAAATATTTCCTTCAGCTAAGAAAGTTCATTTTACGTTTGTAAAGAATGGATAGGGAGGCTACAGTAGGTTCTTAATTCGCTTTTATTACGAGTCATATTTTAGATTCATGATACATAGGACTGTAACCACGGTATTGAGACACACCAATAATTTTTAGTTCCGTAGAACTATTTTCCATACTGCAGCTCTACGGCATGAAATGATTATTTCTCAGCCTCGAAGTGAGAAAAGAATCCATAGTGTAGAAGCCATTCAGATGAAACTCAATAGACATGCCCAAGCCACCGAAGTGTGTTAGAGGATGGTGGAACCAATCAAACAACCATCAATCCGCAAGAACACAAAGTGTTTAAAGATGACTCTATTGATCAAGCAAGTTTGAATATTACCCAAATGTTGCTAAGTAACAGATAGACAAATAAATTATGCATTTTGGTTTTTTTATTTTCAATCCTACTTTATTGCATAGTTAAATATGAATGTTTTTTAGACTAGATTTCCCATGTTCTTAGGTTAAATTCTTCATATCCACATAATCCACATGAAAGTTATGTTTTTTCTTTGAGCATAAGTGAGTAGTTGCTTTCGAAAGGACCAATGCTGAAAATATTGATCTACAAATCAACTTTCAAAATACTGAAGCGATAATGTGCGCATTTCTAGGCTAGATAGTGACTAAAATGGGCCCGCAAAACCTTTTTCCTTGAATAACTACTGGCTTTTAAGTACCTTACAGATTTAGGTGAATTGTGACTAACCATCGAACAACGTAAGTCAGATCCCTCTACTTGACTGGCATAGGAATAAATTGAAAGATTAGGATAGATTAAATCAAAAGGTGATTTTTTTAGGAATTAACTGACTGTTGTTTGAGTCATTTGAGTAGGAGTATACTATCGAGTTGGGAATACTAGGTATGAAGGTTTTAGATCGATCACTCAAGCAAAAGAATTTATCCGCTATCTTTCTCTGAATCTTCAGTTTCAACACTATTTTATGTCCCATTTCTTCATTTCATTTCTTCCTTACAATCACATTCTCTATAGCCCGTTTTACTATTGTCGGTATTATTACTTTTTCAAACCATGTTGATTTTATGTCTTTACAGATGTGGCGTGACAACCAGGACAAATAAACGCATGCTTTGCAGCACATTGACTGATCGACTGCACATTACAGTCCTCCTGCTTTGATGTAAACCCTCTGCCATGTGAATCAGGCTCCTATGGTGGACCTTAGAAATTTGTGACCGTATAAGTGCATAAAACGTGGGGACTGCCTTTGGGAATACAGACACTGGAAGATTCATTTCTAGAATTTGGATGCTCAAGTATTAGCCTACAACAGAGCAACCTCACAATACTTTTGAAGCTGTGCCAACCAGGCACAGATTGAAAGGTAGTGTATGCTACTGGCCGAAATTCCATCCTCTCTTTTAAGGAACAACTAAGATTATGGCTTTAGTTTCTAAAAGAAATACATGTGTATATATATTTTTGATTCAGGTATTCGCAAAAAAAATGTTCTTTTTATACCTACACTACACACCGAAGTATTTTTAAACACCTGTTTTGTGTGGTTTCGAAGTGGATTTCAGACAACCACGGTTTGAAATGTTGCGTGGAGATATAGGGTAAATTTATAGTAATTTCGTTTACTAGGGTTAAAATGATTAATTTTTGCGATGGCATACACCATGAAAGTTGCTTTTTGTAAGAAACCATTTCGTATTGGGAAAACCGTTGTATAAGACGACAACAAGATTTATTACAATTGACGACTACATATTTGGTCGGAAGGATTTTGGTCTTGCAAAATCCTCTAACGAAGTGGAACTAGATTCAGATAAATATCGCCTTCACAAGGTGTATTGAAAACGCATCCAACAAATTACTACAATCCTTTAATAATTTAGGTTATCTGTATAACATGATCTGATGGATGAACTCACTGAGAGTCAAATAAATGAACATGAAAACTAGTTACGATCATGATAATTTTACTAAAAAATGTCATCAAAAATTCAACAGCGACAGTCTAGGCTCTTACAAAATTGGTAGCTTCAGAAAGATAGAATGCATTACCTTAAGACTAAATTATCTGCCTGAAACCTGGCCTTGAATTGATGCATTTCAAGTTGTTACTGATTATGCGTACAATATCTAAAGTCGCAGTTCTGAACAAGTCTTGGGTTACTTTACCTCAAGAAGATGTAGCATAAGAATTATTTTCATCAGTATTATTAAACACCGCTTCTAGATAATAACATATTGTTACCGCGCATTTATCAAAATTTTGCTGCGTTCACACGCAACAAAAGTACCATTACTGATCGAAAGAATCTACTCTGGGCCATGCGTTCAGTAGATTCCTTTTTTTCGTGCGTCACTCAAGTTAATGGTTAACTGTGGTTTCGCCTCAGCGTACTATACACGTAAAGGCTTGTGGAGATAGACCTGATAAGCTTATTTTGTAAATAGTTTTTTAATATTATTTGTATTTATTTCGTCAATCTTTCACTGTATGTATATTTACCATTAAATGACTATACCTGTTGTTTTGGTAAATGACTTTGAACACACTCCGTTGTGTAACTACATAGCGTGACATTCGGCTGCTTGTTAACATTTACATTGCTACACACATATCCCTCGTTCTATTTTCGTTTGTGATTGAGTTAACTGAAATCTAAATCAAATATTACTTACATTTATAGACTATGAGTGGGAATATACCATACCTTACATTGGATTACACTACTGGAGAGTTTGTCAACCTGATTGGAATTACCAAGCATTTATAATTGTGGATTTACAGTACCAGACTAAGGCTGAACGCGCATCAATTTGGTGAACTTAAGTAAAGTCCCAATGTTTTATTGTATTTGTAACAATTAACTGGTATATATTAGTATTACTATTGATCTTTAATAACTTTGTTGATACTTTTCACGTTTATACATCGTCTGGTCCACCACAGGCTAGTTCAGTTTATCTCATTTGTTTATATCCATTTTCGCTCGCTTTAAGTGTGCTTTTTAGTGTATTTTTGTACGGTCTTAGGCTTTTACTAGCATCTATAACACAGTTCACGTCAATATATTCATGAAAAATTCATGCAAAAGACCTTAATGCTGTTTCGCTGTTACATCCAGCATGCAGTGCGAGAACTGCAAAAGTTGGTTCCACGAAGCGTGAACAGATCTCACTGCAACGGCTTACAATAGACTCGGCAAGTCGGATCATAAATAGGAATGTGTTACATGCAGCAGAGATGCTGTAGTCTTGCTGAGTAACATCACTGTTCTTTTGACAGGTCTGCGGCGTAATTTGTCGGCAAACTTGGAAAAAGACAGTCATAAAACGGGTAAACAAACAAGGCGCGCAACGAAAATAAGAATAGGGATGTTTACAGTTCTATCATCGATGGAGCATACATTAGCGTTAATGATGACATGTTGAAACTCAGCACCATCATTACGTCAACGGTAATAGACTCCGTCAGCAAACTCGGATTTCCCAGCTAAGAGTCCTTTAATGCAACAGTGGTTCCCAAAAACGCTGTACAAGATTGAATCCACGTTAACAAAGCTAAAAAGAAACAGACGTCACTGTCTAAGCTGAAATGGTGATTTGCTCTCACAGTCTACCCCCAAGAATATCTGTCCTGTCATGACAGATCCTAAGATTCAGAAACGTGCTTCGACCTCCAAACAACAACCTGAAAGCAATGAAAAACTTGTAAAATCAATAACAGTTCATGATGACTCTCTCATAATCATGAACCTCAAAGACAACTCTGACCTTCTACTCATTTCGCAGGACAAAAATGACAGGGTGCTTTGAGGTGAATTGAACAAAAACTTGAACTTCTTAGAATACAGCCTTTTCCGGTCACACGGCTCACTTTGAGAAAGGAATTCGAGCATCACATCTAACATCACAAAAGGAGGGAGGGTGGCGCTACTGACCAGCAAACATGATGGTGGGAAGATAAATTCAATTCACCCGTGTCTGTAGGGCGGAACATTTGTATAGTTACGGCTCTTTATGGTTTAGTGGGATGTAACGAACATTATGGTTTTGATGCTGACTTATCACGCAAAATACCTCTTTAAATCGTGTTACGAACGTTGAGGCTCAAAAACATACTGACGAGACGAGACTAGCGAAGAAAGACGGTGGTTCTAGACCCCTGCCAATGAGGATAACTTTCCCATCCTTCAATATGGTGGCTGTAACTTCGGAAGCATTTCGTGCCAACATACGTCAGTCGACAACTGGAATCCACATGCACCCGTATAGGCCATACGATGCCAGGAACAAGCACAAAGGCAAGTCGGAGTTGATCATTCCACTTGTGAACTGTCTCGATGGTAAAAAAACGTGTAAAGGACAGGGCCTACCAACTCGGCAAACCTTATATGTAGGCTACCTGTCCATTCACGTAAGGCTCATACAGGCAAACCGGAAGAAGCTTACACGTTTCAGATTGGAAGCACAAACTGCTTATACATGAACGCCGCTAGTCGGCCAAACAAAATGGTTGAGCTACGTGAACTTAACAATGCTACAAATGCTCATCTGATAGGAATATCTGAATCTTGGAAATTTTTTCATTTCGAAGACTAGGAGCTAACAATACCTGGGATGTCTTTGTTTCGCAACGACAAAAAATCATGAATTGGGGGTGAAGCAGCCGTATGCATAAGATCCTGCTTGGAGAACACCAAGTTCATAACCTCGGGTTTAACAATCTTGAGGAACCCATATGGTGCTCTGTAAGATTGTCTACTACTTCAAGGTGTCTAGTCGGAGTCATATATAGGAAGTTCACTGCCGACATCGAGTATGACAGTCGTATGCTGGAAGAGATATCCCTCTCTACGCGTCTCGGTTTCACTCATATCCTGATTCTAGGGGACTTCAATCTCCCTAGAGTTAATTTCGCGGAACATACGCGTATTAGAGGTGAAACCTCAACTGAAGCTCGGTTCTTTAACCCCATTAAAGATTCGGGATTATACGAAAATGTGAAGTCAGCAACACATTGAAGAAACAGTCAGACACCGTCGCGCCTAGACGGTATATTGACAAACGAAGAATTTCTAGATGACATCCTCTCAATCCTGGCCCTCCTGGGGAAAAGCGATCATGCCGTTGTAGCCTTCAGTTTTGTCAGCAAGACTGAGCTAAGATATCCCACCAACAACATGCGCTGGAATTTCAAACGGTTGAATGTGTAACAGCATAGATTGGTTGGTTAAGATTTGACCCCAAACAACCAAGCATATGCCAAAACAGTATTGTTCAAGTATTCATTCACTTCTTTATTTTGTATAAGCGTTATATTCTTTATTACCTTATATTGAATGTTGAAAGCCTTTGTTTGTCTGAACAGATAATCCCACGCTCCACTGTGACTGCGCTAAGGTCGAAATAAAGACCTATTCACTACTCGTCTGGTTTCTTCTATCAATAGCAGGAGGGTTACCTGTAGGCACGAAAAATGTGTCAGCTTTACACGACTATCTACAACAGGTGGTTTGGGATGTTCACCCTCAACTCGATGTGGACGGTCATTAGGACATTTTACTGCACACGCTATTAAATGCTACAAACCATTCAGTTCTTCAAACGGTTCCCAAAAGCTGCAAGCCACCTACAATAATCAAGAACTGCACTCTCTGCCTGCTAAGCCACAAAAAGCATTGTTGTGCAGAATACAATCAATATGACAACAATGGAGCGTACAGGCAGTGCAAACATATACGGAATATATGCACGAAGGCTGTAAGAGAAGATAAATTTGTCTCCAATCCGAAAAGCTTAACGCGTTATGCAGCCTCTCTTCGTCAACTGCTAGGTCCTAACGGCCCGACCAATAACGACGGCGACGCCGCCAACCTTTTGGCTGAACAATACTCTCGGACGTCTCAACCGACTCACATCAACTATACTGATGGCAGTTTCACTTGCAACTTCACAGGACTTTCCGTAGTGAACCTGAGTGCCGACTTGGTGTTCCGGAAGTTGCAGCACCTAAAGAAAAGACATTTCTTCTGGCCCAAGTATGGTCCATTCTGCTATACTGAGGGAAGCAGCCTTAATCCTGGCAACGCCGCTTAGCTTGATGTTCTTACACTTGCTAAGCCGAGGCAAACTACTTGAAATTTCGAAGCTGGCTCACATCACACCAATCTTCAAAGGAGGTCGACGCATCGAACCTTCAAGTAACCGACTGATGGCTCTTCTCTCTATACTTTTAGAAATCGTGAGGTCCCTTACATGCGATGGTATACATGACTAATTACTGTCCCTAAATTTCTTCTCACCCCAACAGCATGGTTTCAGGAGGGGTTACTCTTGTATAACCAACCTGCTGACTGCGACGGACAGATGAACAAGTATCTTTGATCAAAAGAGGAAGGTTGAAGCGCATTTTTGGCCAGTTTTATCCTTACCCATTTAGAGTACGGAAACATAGTACTTCTTCCATCAGTCCAAAGGGATAAGGACACTATGGAGCGCATCCAACAGCGAGCCACGAAATCAGTCCAAGGACTCAAATTTAAACCTTATGAGGGGCACCTCCAGTCACTTAGCCTTTACCTCATTAAATCGTGTTACAAATGTTGAATTGGTTTCACTTCCTACCCAGTAATCCTATTACAAGCAAACTAGACAATTCGCTAATATATGAAGCCTACTCAAGACCCTATGATACCTGAGAAAAATAGTCCAAAAAAATGAAGGGAGATCTAAAAGCTTTGATAAAAAAGGAAGATAGCCAATTGTATATCACAATAATGTTTCTAGCACTATATTTTATTCCATAACCACACATAATCTCATGCACTGAATCGCCTCCATTAGTCTGTTGTATGTACACTCATACCTTCTTAACACTTATTTTCTTTAATCTGTTAAAATGCTCTTTCTTAACAAATACCTTAATAAAAGAAAATTAGACTGAGTAATCATACCTTAAACATTCCTTCATGAATATTGACTACTCTGCCTCTCGTCCTTTTTTTTACTTGCTCCCTCTTTCAGCCCCCTTGTGATATGGTAAGAAAGATTTCATCCTGCACCATCCTCAAAGCCTTAGACATTCCAA